TGCAACCTGGTTAAGGTGACAGCCTACCGCTCTGGGGGACCCGGGTTCGCATCCGAACGGGTCGAAAAATTCCCAGGAATTTTTCGGGGAGTGGTCTGTTCGGATATGTCGGGCCCCGTCCCTCACCACCCGGTAGCCCCATTGTGAGCCTGGCCGAACCCATAATGGGCTTGCAAAAAGAGGCCTCTTAGTGCCCACAGGGCGGAAAGAGTTTAAAAAATCATCCGAGGGCGTCTATCGATTATCTGGGAGTTCGATAAATTACTAGGGATTGTTTGGGGATCGCTGTTGGAAAAAAATATATATTTATGTAATGTAATTTTTGAAGTGCAGCGAGTAGCGAGCAAGTTTCCTCGGCAGCGACTCAAATTGATAAATCGCTAAAACACGTTTTGTGAAGTAATGACTCGACACATTTGAACGAAATCTTGCATATTAATATAATAAAATGGTGTGTCGTGACGGAGGCCGGATCTGAAAATTCTATCTAGAACGGGAGATATCGGGGGTCAAAGGTCATCCCATGTTAAGTCAATCGAAAAATTTTGCATTATAAAAACGTAAAGAAGCGAACGCGCGCTATTCTCCATTTGAAATACGATGAAACTCTCGCCAAATATGTTTTAGTACCGATTTTCTTTTTCTATTTTTCTTGAAAAACTGATCATCTATACTTTAACTATATGTGCTAACGTATTACATCTTTCATAAAACAATTAATAATTAAACCTGCATAATAAACAAGGTATAATACGTAACCGTATTATACCTTGTTTATTATGCAAGTTTTAGAACCAAGGAAAAATTCTGTATTTATGCATAGTGACTAGTCGCTTTAATTTTGCTCTCCCTAATGATCTAACGTGAGTTCGCAGTCAGAGACGAAGTTTTCCTAGTTATATATGAGTACAGTATATATGCAATACAAAATTTGCATAAATCTGTAAATAGTAAAGCTAGTAAAGTTAGAAATGTGTTGTTTTTCTTTTTCATAATCTATACCAGCGATTCTCAATGTTATTAGATCTCTGAACAACGCGAGTCACAGATGAGCCATGGATTGTATATGTCACCTTGTCCACTTCCTATCCTGCAAATATTGAATATAATAAGATGTGGACCACAATATTTTGTCTCTCTGGTATGAGAGATACGTGATGCGTAAAAATGTTTTTTCCTCTGACTGAACACAGAATTGCATTTGAAAAAATATCAGCAACGAATTGCTTAACTTTCCCGGATACATTTAAAACTGCATGTGGCGCCATATGTATGGTATTTTATAAAAAATTATATAATTAATTATTATATTAATAAAATGGCGAAAAGATTAGAGGGCAGGGATGAGTTTTATACAAAAAAATTGTAAATGCTAATATGAGTAAAATCATCATTAAGTTTGACCCTACTAGAGATACATATGACCCTCTATATCTGAACTATTCTCAACCTTTAACCATTAAAACTTAATAACATGAATCCCTTTTTTTGCAGTTTTCGACGTTTCAAAGTCCTCTGTGTCTAAAAAATGTAAAAATCTTGAGGGTTATTATTTGACCAATCGCCAAACTTCTCATCTGTTATATACAACAAAGCCGGAAAAATAAAGACAAAATTAATTAACATACAGTATTATTATAACAAAGTGAATTTATATTACGGTCGGATTGAATTAATAGGAATAAGGAAACGATCTGCTAAGAGAGTACCTCTCGGGAGGACTTTAATAGAAAAGTTGCACGTATTTAGAAAACCCACAAAACTCCACGCGGCAACACACGAGACCAACTAACCACAAGTGTTCAGTGCTTTTTATTCGGTGGACATGAATTTATATTAAAAATATTGGTATGTCTATACATAAATAGAATCCAACTTACAAAGTCTAAGTGCCAACTAATTTGTTTAGTAAGTCGTTTATATATATATATACACTAAATTTTTCATTCATTATATTTAAATAGGACTTACTCTTCTGAAATCTTAGCTTGCGTTTGCGAAGCAAGTGCTTATAGAATAAGCCACACTGCCAAAAGCAATTATATAATTGCATTTTATCGACAAAAATGATACGCAAAGTTCAAATTGATAATAAAAATATAATGCTTTGGATAAAATGGAAAAAAGGAATCAAAATATAAAACAAAAGTCAATTTATATAAGATAAAACTCAAAAATAAGAAAATTCCTACTGTATGAAAACAAAACACCCGAGAGAAAAAAATACGCCAGAAAATTTGATGGTGATAGGAAAATCTCTCTCTTGATAAGTTAAACCCGGAAAATATAACTCTTTTTTCGCTTTCTGTTTATTCGCACAACACACTTTACATTAGTGATTTCACATTGTAATGTGTTAATTAATGTGTAAATTGTATAATAATCGGAATTTCGAAAACCTTTGTGGAAGGGAGAAACGAATTTTAAAATATTTTTTCGAGGTAAATATCTCATAATTTTCTCTCAATATATGAGAAAATATTTTCATATTTTCAACCCATATACTTTAATAATTTTATTAAAATGAATAAATTAAANAAAATGTAATGGGAAACTTTCTCAGGTAGCTACGAACAACAATTGTTACGTAACTCGAACAATATTAATATTAAAGTCTAGTTCTAATATAGGAACTTCTGCTACCTCAACAGTAGCATAAAATTTTCAAAAATAATTTAGACGTATTTTGAATTTATTTTTTATGAATTTTATAATAAAGTTATATTATTATTAATCAATTTATAATTGATATATAATCCCCAATGGTATTATATTGGCTGACACCATTACAAGTCAGACAAGACTGTAATGGAAGAACTACGGCGATTTAATATCAATTGCGATTTTATTTTTCTCAAGGCTCTAAAAACACGAGGCTCCAGGGAAAAGCTTAAGTTGATTATGATTAAAACAATCATTATTTAACATTGTAGAGTTTCTCGTTAACAGATAAAATAATGGAACCACTAATTGTTTTGATACAGATTTTCTTTTCTTTTTTTTTATTCCTGTTAATTGCTACATTGATATGAATATTAGAATTTATTCGTACATTATTATAGATCAAGATATAAATTTAAACCTAAATAAATAATCATTTCAATTTTTATTAACACCTAAATAGGGGCCAATTTCTCATAGAAAGTCCAAACTAAAATTGAAATCGTTTGCGATATTTTTACGCATAAATTAAATTATCCATTAAGTTTCTGATTTCGGTTCTGATTATTTACTTAAAATGTTCAGTTTTTAGATAAATAATCGGAAATAGATAATTAAAATCACTAAATCAATAAAGTGTTCAAGAATAATTTAAAATTAAAATAATTTTCACATTGCTTCACGTTTCAGTAACTTAAATGCGTAAAGGAAACCAAAAAACTTCACATGGTCTGCCCGTTGGTCTGGCGCTAATCCGCTACAAACTATCAGTGTTCAAATTTTACCCACTTGACCACTGTTAAGACCATTCGGTATCACTATAGAAGAATAATATGATGGCCGGATGAAGACCGAGAGATTAAGGGCCGACGCTTCAATCTGGTTCATCTGTCCGCCATATTATTCCTCTGTCTTTTTGCTCTTTCCGTCATATGGGCATTAAGACGGCATTTTTTTAGTAAGCCCATTATGGGTTTGGTCAGGCCCACAATGGGCAGCCGGATGGTAAGGGACGGGGTCCGACATATCCGAATAGATCACCTCCCGAAAAATTCCTGGAGATTTTTCGACCCGTCCGGATTTGATCCCGGGGGTTCCCCAGTAGGCTGCCACCTTGACCACTCGACCATCTGGCCGTGATTCCTCTGGCGTACTAAAGATGAATCTGGGAATTTTTCATGGATAGTCTGTCCTGGATTATTTTAGGTTCCGTTTCTTACCCCCGGCTGCTCTATTGTGAGCCTGGCCAAACTCACAATGTGTCTGAAAAAATCCTCTTGGTTACCAGAGAGCGAAAGAGTAAAAAATAAATAAAAAAAAGATACTAACTTGCAAAGGAAAATATTTTTCATTTAGAAAATGTTAAATCTTTACTGTANTCTTAAACGTTGACATCATCTGTTAAGTATATCCGGTATGAAGTAATCTTGAATTTTTGTCAGTTATCCGATTTCGGATTGTAGGACACGTTAGTTGGCCAAACGGATCGAGGAAAACCAATACAAGGAGGATTTTATTGTTTTTTTCGATAATCTAGACTAGAAACAGGACGTCTTTTCTTACACCTTTACAAATAGAAGAAAATACCTATACCGGCATAATATCGGATTTCTTGTTTAAATTCTCCAATAACCATTAATCTTATTCTAATGTCAAATCTTATACTAAATAAAAAAAAATTAATATATGAATTAAAGCAAAGGGATGAAAAATACCAGAATTGCAAAAAGGGGGACTTGTTTAGAAGACAGTAAAAATGATTAAGTGAGAAAATAATAATAGCTTAGGAAACTTTAGAATGCTTTCAGTTATGATAAAATTATGTATAATTATAATAAAATTTAAAGTTATTTCGTAATAATGTAGTTTTGAAATGACTGCAGTTTATAAAATACCTTTTAATTACGAAGACCGACTTAAAAATTATAATATATTATCATTATCGTGTCACCATATGTTTTCAATCTGATGTAATTAAGATAAATGCTTAAAAATAAAACATTTAATTTTCACATTCTTATAATAATATATGATTACTGTATAAGCTTATATGTGCAAGTAGTATACACTACACTTCCTTAGATTTTTTCCTACTAATATTAAATGTCTGTAAAATAATATTAAAAGTAAATGAATAATACTTTTATGTAAGGTTTATATAGCCTATAAAATAATACAATTGTTTTTAAGGTTTAGTTTAGCTACTACTACTTCTGTTCTTCCATAAGTTATAATGTATTTTTTTCCAATGATATAATAAGTTATAACGCTTGACTATAAACTATGTTAATATATTTTAGTACTTATAGTATCATTTCTTTCGATGAATACGTTGTAAGTGATAAAATTACGCACAATTCGTTTAAACACAAATTTTAGATGCATTGAGGTATTTTTTTTTATATTAAAATAAAACTAACACCGAAAGTATTAATTTATTCATGAATAAAAGCAGAAATTTGGTATAATAATTAGAAGAGAAATGAAAATTGAACAAGTCTTATTAATCACTTTTTGTAAATTATAAAAGGACATTCCACCCTCAGAAAGAGTGTGTTAATTGCATCGATCAATTATTATTTAATTTTTGCATAAATTACCTTGCAATGTGAAGAGTGGAGAACGAAGATGACGTAAGACAGATGCAGCATTTTTGCGGGATGCGGTTGCTATGACTACCGTCAGAAGGAACAGATTGAGAGTGGACTGCAAAACGCAGACGGCGGATGTGGCGATCTTGCAGAATTTTCCGACTGAAATTAGAAGATGAGTTTTTTGTTTGTCTGTAGGGAGATTTTTCTTACAGAAGCGAGTACTTACATTCATAAGTAGCGTTGGCGAAATTATAAAAGCATTCTTCTTTGGTTTCTCTCCCTCTGCGGATTTTCACGCATCTCGACCACAGTCCAGCGTGTCCACGAGATTCGACTGAAAAGAGAAATATGACAACATGAGCACCTTTCTTCCAAACTTATAGATTTAAATAAGAAAAAAGCGTAAATAAAACAAACAATTCTCTATTGATTGAGATAGAAAAATTGACCAAAAATTGTATAAATGCTTTCACTTTCGTAATTTATCATGCTCATTCTTAAATGCGTATGTAGGTCGCCGATTTGATTTCTTAGGTATTACTGTGTTTACCTGCTACACTCTTTTGAACATTGTCACGTGATTTCAAAAGTATGTTCACATTTTTCGAGGTTATAACGGGAACATTCGACAATTATTCTCAATTTTCGTAGGCTATAAAAACCGGCTCGTACATAAAAACTTTCGGAACTGTTTCATACGTTTTAATTTCGCTAAATTCAATTCGATTAACGTGTCTTAAGTATTAATTTTTTTAACTCGTTATCTCGGAAAAGTCAAATTAGAGTTTTCTAAAGAGTAGAAACTATACAGACTCTTGACCATCCATAATTTTTCACTTTTAATTTCACCTATAGGAAGTGTTCTATCCATTCGACTTTTACAAAGGTAAGATATTTCACATGACGGTAAAAAAAAATTATAGAGAAGGAGCGATGAGTCGGGTGGAGCGTCTGATGGACGCCAAAGAATCGATATTATCTCGGCACTGCGCGTAACCCTCGGAATATTTGGCGCCAGACCTGGCATAATTCGCGGCCGGAGGCCTTGAGATGCCCACAAGTCTCCCATATACGGGACAAAAGACCTGTTTACCTGTCGCCGGCCAGGAATCGCCAGTCGCAAATACCTGTCATTCTTTACGTGACCCGTTTGCCTTAAACGTCCTCCAACGAGCAGACTCGAATCGAACGATTATTCTTTCCTTAGTTCCATTGTTTCGTGTTGGATAGGAAAATCGAGTGGATCCATCAGCCGGCGATCGAGACTTCATCGTTACAAGTCGCTCGCGAATAATTGTAATCAATTTTAAGTTAAATAGATGGCGTGACCTTTATGCGAGTAAAACGTGACTCCCGTCAACGCGTCACCATCCACAGTAGTAGCGCAAGTAGTAGTATCATAGAAATAGTTTTGTATTAGTAAGGATAGGTAATTGAGGTGCGTACTACATTTAATACGGATGTTTTAAAGTGCTTTCTGAAAATTACCGAGTAAAAGGTTTTAAGAAACATTAATAAAGTCTTATTTCACTTAATATAAGCCTAATATCGCGAACAAAAACAATAATAATAATTATTATTTCCTAAATAATATAGTTAAAAATTGAGATAAAAAAGCAATTTTATATACTATAAAACACTATATAAAACACTATAAGCAGAACTTACTATATTAAAAGTACTGTACATAGTAATTCTACTATTAAACAATGTTTATGATAAAGTATTTTTATAAAAGCCTGCTAAATTTTCTGTACTTGTCCACGAGTAAATTTATAGTTTTTTTTTTTTAATTTATTAATATAGATTCGTTTGGATTCTCATAAATGACATCTACAGAAGTACCGAATATAAATTCAATATTAAAAATTTATTGTTGTTGATGTTTTTGATAACGAAAAAATTTGTAAAATCGATTTTCCGTATATTTTTAACGAAATTTATTAAATGCCTAAACATTATTCGTGTATTTGATAAAAAGTGTTTAGAGTAAATTATAAGTATCTTAAGTTTAACAATTTCCGTCTTCTGGCTAAAGTAAGTTATTATTTATATAATAAAGAAAGAAAATATGAGCTTAAAGTTATTCCCAAAATATATTATCTAAAATTAATTAATAAAAAAATAAAAATAAGAAAGAATCTAACGTTGACAATGCATTATTTCCCAAAAATTTTGATACTTAACTGATGGTTTGAGAAAGTTTTCAAACTGGTTATAATAGTTAACGCGTTCTTATTCTAAAGTTTGTTTGCGTTACGTAACGAAACATTCTGAAAATAAACAAAACAAATTTACTTTTGTTTATGCTTAACTATCATTTAACGAATAAGTTTCGCGTTTCTAATAGAAAGAGTCGGGTATTATCGAAATTTAAAACGGCATCGTCATAAAAGTAGAATCATCTACGTAAAATTCAATCTATCAAATTGGGATATTCCAATGAGGAACCGATCACGTGATTGGAAGATATTCTCTCACCTTCCTGGCTGCGACCGAAGTGATCGACGTTGGTCATGTTATAGCGGAAGTGCCAAGAGGTCCAGTAAGTACCAGCCAAAGAAGCGAGTTGAGCCACCAACATGACCAGTTGGCAAGAAACGAAGAGGAAAAACAGCAACTTTGTCCTGATGGTCATGTTTGCCGTGTAAAAAGCGGCACGTGCGACGATTATCGCCCGCACTCATTTAAACTACGTCATCGAGCAGCCTTCCAATAAAAACGTGAGTTATACGCGGGGTGCGAGGAAGGGAAAATACACTCCTCGCCGTCTGGTGACCTGCCTTCTCTCCAAAGACGTTGTATTGTAGATATCTTTACACCTGGCTTCACGTAATTCGAATAATGCTACATCTTATGCACGATTTGTGTATAAATACGTGCCTAAGTCTTACATTTCACGCACTCCTACAATAGAAACATAATAACATCATTATAAACGAACTATTTCCCTTATTTTCGATCCGAATTTTCTAATAAAAATAAAACTTTCCATTTAATATAAGTATGATACAGTATAGTTGATTTTATTGTTTCGTTGGCTACAACGACAACAAATCTATTTACTCGATATTAAATTCTATATTTTAAACTAAATGTTAATCGTCATATGCCCGTATTCGGATCAAGAGTTACCTAATTACCGTTCATTTTACTTTTAATACGTAGAGTCTTATTGATTAACTTCTAACTCTAACGCTTGATCCCTGATTGTGAATACGGGCAAAAGCGAATGTTTATGAGAAAAAAGTACAAATTGGATTTAAAAAAAACTATGTTTATTATAGTTACGAAATTATTCGATAGATGGAAACACTAACAATTATTAGTGACTCGCATTAAACTCGGGTTTGGGTCGATATTTCGTTAAACGACGCGAAAATAAGTTCTCCGAGTTAATTTAGAAGGAACGAAAAGGCAAAGATGATGGCTAAACTATAAGCCTGCAGCGAGGTTTCCGGGTTCCCATCGTCATTTTAATTGTCAGAAATCACAAATAGATGATGACACGTCGAAAGGACATTTAATTTTCTACCATAATCTAAATCTAGATATCGGGAAGATTCGATAACCAGTTCTAGGTTAGATTATAATTGATTGCTAGAGTAATCGTTTACGGATTAACAGATAAGTTTAACAAATCAAGCAATTTATAACACAATTGAAAGCAAAATCTAGTTGAAATTAGATATTGAAATATGTGGCAAATTCGGACACGATTCTAGATAATAGAATAGATGAATGTCGTCAAGTGGATAATCGTATGTAGACGTTAGCAATTTCAATGAGAGAGAAACAATGAGGAACTCTTTCATCTTTCGTAAATTTAATTTTATCTCCCATGACGTAACTGATAAATACCTACTGATCATAAACTATTTGAAAAAAGAGGGATATTTGCTATAAATATTACTAGTGAGGAGAGATAAGTTATAATTAGAAACACGGATAATTTATTCATGTTTCTAATTTCGTGTTTCTAATGCTGTCGGATCAGAAGATTAAGAGCAGAAACAGAACGACCAAGTAGAATAAAATCAAGATAAAATCCTCATAATTTGAATTAAAAATAAAAATAAATTATCGTACAGTTGGCATTGCAAGCGTTGTTATTACATTCAAATCGGTTGCATACTCGTAATTCTAAGATAATGCTTTACTTTTCTCCGCTTTTTACTATTTCATCAAATAGTTGAGGTAAAGAGGCTGAGGATAACGCCATTAATCTAATCGATGCTATCCTCAGTCTAATTGTCTGATCTAGCTGATGGAAAATGTATTCTATGAGAATTTGCCCTTGTTCTCAATTCTACTTAATCGACTACAATTTTGGTGAAGATCCCAACATGGCAAATAATTTCATTTATCGATAATACTGGCGAATGATTTTTAGACGCATAATAATGACAATTACTTATTTAATCTTCCAAATTTAGCAATATTCTGTCGATATTTCATTGGGAAAAATCATTTATTAAACGACAATGTTTATTTATGACGACGTTCATTTTTAAAAGTGCATAAAGATTTTTCGAACAGATTTCCTTGGATTTTGTGTGCTTTGGTCTACTAAATCCTATAATTTAACAAAGAAACAACATGTAGATTTAGAAGACAATGAATATCTAATAATTTTGGGATACTTGGAATAGTTTGATTAAAATAAAAAACAAAATTTTCGTTATCAATTTTTATGATTTCTTTATATTTATAGCTGTTTACTGTAACTTGGCTGGAATAAATTCGAAGGATTAAATACTCACTTTAAAGAGTTAAATGATAGGTTTCTGAAGACAAAGTCTGCCCAAAACGGGACCACCTATACACTTTACAGGAACACGAGATAAATAAATAGTCGTCCCGTTTTGGGCAGACTTTGTCTTCAGAAACCTAATAATATAATTGCCATTCGGACGAAAATTTATAAAAGAGATAAATAATATCATACCGACCGATTATTGAAATTATTGAAGTAAATTAGATGCTTCTTCCATAATTTGTAAATTTTGAAAAACTCGCGCCATTCCAACGAATAAAAAGCTGTGGAAAGGTATAAGTAAATCGATGAACAGAAATTTACCTTTGTCTGTCTGGTTTCGCATACCAGGATTGAGTACGTAGGCCAAGTGTGTTTAATCACGTGACTTCTATCAGAATTGTCCATCGTGTGGAATGAAGAAGCAGAAAATTCAATCTCCCGAACAATTTGTTAGAAGCTTCACGTTCTTCCACCGTGAGAACGTCACCTCCTGTCCGAACTATCAAACGAAAATGGAAAATTTTCGTGTTTTTTTCCGTTTAGCGCCTCCCCCTTACGACACGCGGCAATTTTTATATCGTGACGTACCCACGATGAGGTGATTCACGTGATTTTTCGAATACAAAAAGATAAAGTTAAATTTGATCATTTTTTCTTTTTTATTTCATTTGAATGTCAATATGGCTATTGACTGAGCATGGTGGGTAGCCACATCTTGATCTGACATTTTCTTTTACTGCTTAGTAATATGAAAAAAATTTAAATCATGTGACTTCTGTTTAGATCGAAAGTAAATTTATTTTGAACGAATAGATGGACAGCATTATTGTAAAATAGACAATTTTAAATGGTCATTACATTATTTCTGAGATAAAAAAAATAATTTCCTTTATAAATTGTTGCTTGTTTGATTCGTGGCGAATAAAATTCAAGTTTAGTAACGCAATTCGAAAAAGTCACATTATCTATATTTTAAACTGAATGCAGTATCCGAATTATCTGAAACATCGTACAGAACTGATTGTTATCGAGTTTAGACGTAAACATGTATCAATAATCCGGTCCGTTTCGAAAGTGACAGATATCGATTTATCAGGTAACAACTCAAGAAAAGTAATTACTTGACCAAGTGTCGAAACGGTTACTTTCAGAAGCTTGGTATCCTCCGAGAAATAAAAGAGTTGGGATTAGAAAAAAGACCAAACTCTGCAATAATTGTATCTGATACAGTTTACTGATCCCCGTCGAGATCCGAAGAACAAATTACAGTAATGAGCGATACTTTTTCCATTCGGAAATGAATCTAATCGCGTGATTTCTTTATTTAAATAAAAAGAAATGTCGATGTGGTAGAGGAAAACGTAAAATAAGTGTTTTATTATGGCGAAACGATAAAAAAAATCAGCAAAGAGGCGGAGAAGCAGCAGGTAGACGGAGGATGGACGAAGTGAGCATGCTCGCGATTTTCGGTGGAAACCGAACACGTGAAAATCGGCTGCACATTCGTCCGCTCCACTCGCTCGAGCTGACCATGTCGGCCGATGACGCACCCCGGTGAGTGACTTTTTTTTTAATATTTACTTTCCTCCGACTAGGTGAGCGCTCAGATGTCGATTCGCTATTTTAAATTCGAGTGACTCAGTCACATGACGAGATTTAATTAAATTACTCGAATTGGATCTCGTGATCACAACATTCGTGTGGTTCTTTAATGCAATTACTTATCAGAAGATTACGGATACGCCAGGTAAAATTCCGTTTCTCTTAGTTTAGCGAATCGAATGATGCTTCACGTGATGCAGTTGAAGGATGTTCTTCGAATTTAATTTAGTATTCCTGTTTAATCGGCGATCAATGATAAATATATTATTTTAGGATTCATCCTTCCTAACAAGCTTAAACCTATCGAAAAAGATTGGAAAGGTGTTAGAGTAATTTTTAAGTTTAAAAACTATAAAAGAGAAAATATAAAACGAGAATATACCTAAAGAATAATATTGAGTCGTGTTATGTAATCTAGTATC